AGCCACCTTTGGCAAAGTAGGAAGGAACGATTCGCCATCGGTGATCGGTCCTGTGGGAACAATGCTCCGTCCTCTCGAGGACGCGCGGTCAATGGTCTAACCGCTAAGGCATGCAAAACATAAGAGTACGCCCCCCCCCCTCCCCTCCAGCGTGCGTCTATTCTGATCCTAGCTCTGCGACCAACCACGTCGTCGAGCCACCGGGCCAAGTGACGTCGCCGTTGACTCTGGACGATACTGGCTTGCCTTTGTCTTCCACGGGAGCGAGAGCAAGGTAGGAGGCTCTGGACGCTGCGGACGCCGCTGCAGCGGAAGCCGACACCATCCGCATTCAAGACAAGATGGACAACAAGCTGAAGCCGGAACAACCTGATAGTGTCACACGCTTGCCCCTCGGTCCTGATCCTGATGAATTTGCTCGTTTCGCGTCTAGCTGCAAGGGTGTGGTCACAGAGATCCTCAACAAAAGGGACGTCAAGCCGGCTGAAGAACGCCGCAACGCGCTTCGACTGTACAAGGGCAAGTGCCTCAACTGCATAGGCCACTCTTTCAAATCCTGTAATCGTGGTGTCGTGAACGCCACCGGCCGGCTTAACAATGACATCAAGTTCTGTGTTGAAAAAGATCCCACCCTTTAGGGTCGGTGGGAAAAGCGCATGACTTCGTATCGACGCCCTACAGGACGCAACCCACACCGAAGTCACTCCTCAGGACGCACCCGCCGCTCATCTGACACACCGGACACGAAACAGTACTCACACACAGAGCTTCGGATGATGTCCGTCCTTCTCTTCTCGAAACCTCCGGCTGTGTTCTCGCAATGGACTCCTTCGGCTGTTGACGTACTGGGCGTACGTTATTCGTGTGGTGAGCAATTTATGATGTCCGAAAAAGCAAAGTTGTTCGGAGATATGACGTCGTATGACAAAAATATGGCTGCAAGAGATCCTAAGACACACAAGTTTTTGGGTCGTAACGTGCGTCCTTTCGACTATGCTGAATGGGAGCGTCGTCGTGAAGAGAACGTGCTTACGGGGTCGTATGCCAAATTTGCTCAAAACCTTGACATGAAACATCATCTACTGGAGACCGGTACCCGCCTCCTTGCGGAAGCCAGCCCCTTCGATCGTGTTTGGGGTATCGGCATGTCTGCATGCTTTCCAGAGGCTAGACTAGCGTTTCATCCAAGTGGGCTGCTAGCGGTAAAACCTTATTGGGAAAAGCTTTGATGGAAGTTCGACGCCTTTTGCGCGATCATCCCCTGTCTGGCGAAGATTTCTCCGCTTCCACTTCTCCCACGCCCCCCATTTCGCAGCCTCCTCTCCATGGACATCGACGCATCCATAAGTTTGCTACTGCGGCAGGTTCGTCGTCACGGAAGGACACGGGCGATGACCCAGCTTGTCTCCGTTTGGACGCTCTGGGGGACCATGCTCCTAGCGTTCATCTGGTGGCATCGACCTCCGCTTGTGCAGACCAACCTCCTCTTGTCGAACATGGCCCGATCTGGTCGGCGGCACGCTCCTGTTGGACTCGGACTCCTACACCACCCGGGTCCTGCTGCATGGAGGACCTACAGCCACTTCTCAACTCGCGCGAGTGGCGCTTCTGGACTCTGGGTCTCCTGC